CACTGCCTGCTGTCAATCAGCATGGGAGGACCTGATGGAGACCTTTCTCCTTCAGGCCCTCCTCTGCTGATTGACGGTGGGCAGATGCAATGGCCAGCCTGCTATTGCAATTTAAAATATCCAATAGCAGGCTGGCTATTGCTTCCAGCATTAAAGTAAAAAAAAAAAAAAAAAGTTTAAACCAAAACCGAAAACTACAGACAAAAAAGAGGTAAAAATGCAAACAAATAAAAAATAAAGTTTATAAAATATAAAATAAAATAAAAACTTTTTTGGTGTGTCATTTTAAATAAAAGTTTTTTTATTATATTATAATCTTCTGACCAAGGGGAACAGACAGAAACACAAACGTGACCCTTCCCTATGCTATCCAAAACTAAAAAATGTTTTTTAGGCTGGAGTTACACTTAAAAAATGTACCTGTTCCGACTTGCATACAAATTCAACTTAAGTACAAACCTACAGTACCTATCTTGTATGTAACCCAGGGACTGCCTGTACTATGGGTTGCTGTTTTTTTCCTTATTTATATGCGTCACCAAACTCTGAATTGCAACCCCCGGAGCATTGTTTTTTTCATCTGAGCCACTGAAGGGATGTTGCACCACAGACGCCCCAGAGCACCCCTATGAGTGGCAGTGACAGTCAATCAGCAAACAAACAGGCACAGAACTAAGTTTTCCAAGCAAAAGCATACTAAGGCAGGCAAGAGTTTGATGCGGTTGGAGGACAAAAGAGCGGTCAAACTGGCAAGGGGTCAAGACTGATGGCAGACAAAGCAAACTCCAAATAACAGGCTAAATCAAACTCCAAATAACAGATTAAGGTCAGATTTTAAAAAGCTAGTGTAAACACAATGTAGTTGGGAAGACTGAGGCAAACAAACATTTTAAAAACTATTTTAAAAAAAAGTGAAAATTGCCACACACACACACACACACACACACACACACATGTGCAAAGACTAAAAAATTAATTTCAGATGAAATGAAGAAAAACTAAAAACTTTTTCATTCGTTTCATCAAACAAAAAAATGTTTATCCAATTTTGGTTTCTGGAGGCAGGGCGCATGACATCATATGACACCGCACATTTTGGGCGCTGACATCTTGGTGTATATCTAGGTAGATAGCGGCGCCTATATCGGCATGTGATGTCACCTGAGGCCACGCATGCATGGCGTCATGTGACGTCATGCTCCCCGCATCCAAGATGGTGGCTCGCATTCGCAGAATGCGCCGGTGGCCAACATGGCAGCTGCACATTCTCAAACAAATTATTATGTGCCCGAATACATTTTTCATATATTCGGGCATATAGTAATTCATTAATTTAACATGTAGTCTAGGTTTTGTGTTCTGTTTTTTATTTTTACTTTTCCAGATTCACTTACTTGAAAAAAATGTCTGCATGACCACCTGACACTTTATTTTTATAGACTCTTTTTTTAGTTTGACATTTATTGTTTGCTTGTTTGCCTACTGTTGCTTTATTTAATAAGAATTCTTATATTTTGCCTACAAGATTAATAGCTTTGTACAACAGTTTTATTTTTATCATACTCTTTAATATGTTTCTTTGGGGCTTAACAAAATGGGAGTCTTTAAATGGTGCGGATATTGGAAAATGGGTGTGGCCACTGAGGGGGCACTGTAAAGCTTTATCGCACAGGGCGCCTAAAGGACTAAGGCTGGAATACTACATAGTAGCCCCACTTAAGTGCCAGACATGGTCTAAAATGGCAATGCAAAGCAATTCCAGCAGTTTAATATCTGCTACTTCCTTTAGCGATGCATGATCTATGACCCAAACTCAGCCACAGGTGCATTATTACAAAAGGTCTATCAGTGTCCGTGATCTATTATCACATGACTTTAAAAAACAGTTTTTCACAGTACCTATATTGCATATTAAGGCCCAGGAAGAAGTGTAGTTGGAAAACGACCCTGTGCTCTGCTTACCATGTCAGCCTGTTGCTTTTGCTGCTGTTTGTTCTCTCCTTTCTTGGTTCCACTGCCTATCTCGTTTCTGCTTTTGTGTTGTGTTTTGCAGGCACTCATTTTAGGACTTAGTCAACTGTAGAAAATAATATCTGATAATTGATGGAAATTTCTAATGAAAAAAACTGTATTATTTAGGTTTACAGAACTGATGTGCTCTGACGTTTTCCCTGTTCTGCAGATCTGTGATAATTGTGTATAACCCCCTTTTAAATGATTTCCAAAGTTCCAAATGCATAGCATGTGATAATATTTATGTTTTCCAGTGAGTTTTAGTGTTTCTTTAGTTCTTTTTTAATATACAGTATTTTCTTTTTTATCTAGGTTTTTATAGAAGAAATTATAGCATGTCCACAGTCTTCTGTTATTTCTCTTATCTGTCACAAATCCAAATATGGAAGCTGACTGGTTGCTATGGCCAGCATAATTTTATGAAACACATCATGGGACCCAGCTGTTTTTTTTATTATAAGTGAACAGTCGTTTGAAATTGTATGGTCGTATCATAAAACTATTTTCTTCCAGTTAGGGAAGGAGCATGTGAAGGCACCATCGCATCAGTTGAGGCACCAAAAAAGCATCACAGTTATGGCCGCAATGAAGGTGCTTGGATGAAAGACCCTAGAGCAAAGGATGACAGAATCTACGTAACTAATTATTACTATGGCAATAATCTAGTGGAGTTCAGAAATCTAGACAATTTCAAACAAGGTATGAAAAACATAACTTGAATATCTTGCAAGATCTTTTAAATGTAAGTGGGAATATCAGTTAGGCATATTTTGCAATTGGAGCGAACATTCTTGTCCTGTTCAATCATATAAACTCGCTGCCCATAGGTCATGGGTAGGCAACCTTGGAACTCCAGCTGTTACATAGTATTTGAGGTTGAATAAAGACATTAGTCCATCAAGTCCAACCTATTAGGATCTCATTCTAGGAGTACCTGTACCCCTGTATATTACGGTCCCTTATGAAATCGTCCAAAAGTTTCTTGAACAATTCCACATTCTTTGCTGAAATCACTGTCTGTGGCAGTGAGTTCCAGACCCTAACTGATCTTACTGTGAAGAACCCCCTTCGCCCCTTGTGCTGGAATTTTTTTTCCACCAATTTTAGGTGGTGGCCTCTAGTTTTTGTAATGGAGTTAATTTTAAACAGTTTATCGCTAATGTTGCTGCCACCATTGAACATTTTGTACATGGAGATCATATCCCCCCTTAATCTCCTCACCTCCAATGTGAACATGTTTAAATTTAGTAGCCTTGTCTCGTAGCTCTGGTCCTCCATACCCCTAATTAGTTTGGTTGCCCTCCGCTGGACTTTTTCCAACTCAAGGACATCTTTTCTTAGTACTGGTGACCAGAACTGGACCGCGTACTCCAGATGAGGTCGAACCAATGATCTATAAAGTGGCAAAATTATAGACTTGTCCCTGCAATACATCCCCTT